ATGCGACTGGAGCAGGGGAGATCTCATTGAATAAAAAGGGTCAGATTCATCCTTGGGAGTCATGGCAAAGCTTTCCCAGAGGTAAGGCAAAGACCAGCATAAGAATGTCTGAGCATACCAGTAGCATAAGCACAGTTATGTAAATGTGGGTTTAATACACAAAGCAGAAAGAAAAACCAGAGGTGGAATCCTCAAATCCCACTCTAGTGGGGGCCAGAGTTCCCCCTGAAGATAACCTTCCCTTGGGAACCGGGACCTGTGTGAGACACCCACTCTTCAGTGAGAAAACCCCCTCCTCAAAACCACTCAGAGCCTGGTTTACATCAAGACCAACTAAATTACTGCTGATTGAATGGCCTCCAGCTCCCACGTGTTACACTGACCAGCCTCAGCAAGGCTCGGTGCAGAACTTCCCTGCATGACACCCTTTGGGTGCTCAGCACTGGTATCCATCCCCCAACCAGAGCTGCTCCTTGGCCATAATGCAAACAAACCACTGTTTCTGCATTCAGTGATGCCCTGGAACTGGACTCCCATTTTGCTGCACACAGGTGGCTCATTGTCTCAATCTGGCCAAGACCTTCTCATCATTCCTCTAGCATGAGTCTTGGTTATGGCGCATTTAATGTCTGGAGGCATGACCTGCCCAGTAATGGAGAAAGTGGTAAAGAAGCAGGGTCAGGAGGCTCACTTCCCACTCGCCATTCAATGCAGATGGTCCCAGCTGTCTCCTGCACTGCTTGCTGGTCTTTAAAGAAACATTAATCTATTTTAATTCCAGGCTATCCTGACAGGATCGATTTGTAAAGCCATTATTGCTCAGGATATCCTTTATGTTTGTTTTAATTAATACAGTCCTCCTATCTTCACTAAATGCAACCTGCAGCTCACTTCGGTTCCTACTGAAGGTTACTCATCTGCTGTAAAGCACAGGGTCTCCCTGCTGTCCCCCTCCAGGCTGTCCTGGCATGCCTGCACTCACAGCAGCGCCCAGGCTGCACACTGATACCCTGAGAACCTGTTGTCAAAGGAAGTTTTCAAGTTGCAGCAATAAAAATCGGGGGGTGGAAGAGGGAAAGAATGTGACTTGTAAAAGCCAAACATATGAAGATGTAGGCTGCTCTCAGCTGTCACGAGTGGCGAAGGTGACAGTGGCTCCTTCCCACTTTTTCAAGCCAAGCGTGTACTTAAATTTTTTTGCCAGGCTGAGGTCTTGCTTTATTGGTATAATAAAAATTGTTGCATTTTTACAATGTGAAAAAACTCATTACTGCATTACAGCAAGCATATGAAAAGACAAGGGGAATGGCTTGAACCTGGCCGAGGGGAGACTGAGCTGAGCTCTTAGGCAGAAGCTCTTCCCTGTGAGGGTGCTGAGGCGCTGGCACAGGGTGCCCAGAGAAGCTGTGGCTGCCCCATCCCTGGCAGTGCTCAAGGCCAGGTTGGACACAGGGGCTTGGAGCAAGCTGCTCCAGCGGAAGGGGTCCCTGCCTGTGACAGGGGTTGGGACTGGATGAGCTTTAAGGTCCCTGTCCAATTTGGCCTTGAACACTTCCAGGGATAGCACATGGAAGTACACATGTACACATCCCAGTTTACAGTCTGCATCTCATCCATCACCCTGGTGTACAGTACACCAGTGACATTTTCCTTTGTTTTAGTGTCTCTTTCAGCTCCTCTGTTTGCTCAGGAGTGCTGGTAATGCTGGCAGGTTAAATGTCACTCTTTGCTGGCACTTTTACTGGGGATAAAATGCTACTGTTTGAGCCTCTGCTCCATGAGGTTTGTCCCATCAGCCAGCCATAGGTGTCCCCATAGGGGGCCTGGTTCTGCCCTGGGCATAGCCACAGCTTTGTGCGTCTGTGTTCACTCAAATGGTGTTGCTTACACACAGAACGTTTGCTGTGATGCAGGCAGGACAGCACTACTGTATTTATAAAACTCCAGTTTGCACAAAGATCAGCTGAAATCAACACCCTTGTATGTCCTAAACCGGGAGGCTTTTGTGCATCCAGAAACTTCACCCACCCCCTTTTGCTCTGCCTTGTCCTCCCCTTTTGTTCTCATTATCTATGTATCCGAACAAGGCACGACTCCCCAGCCAGACCTACCAAGCGGTGGAACCCTATTTAGGGAAGTATCAGTTCCCTTTTCCTAATCCGCCCCTAGCATGCCCCACTGTAGCAACACCTTCTGGCTCCTGGACAAGCCCATGCAAGTTCAGCGAGCGAGGCTGCCATCCGAGTAGGAGCAGGAGAGGGAGAAAACACTGTTGATTTATGACAAAGGGTTTCCTATTGAAGAAGTATTCGCGGGGTATGGGAAGCGGCAGGCGCGCTCCTCCTGCATCGTTTTGATTCCTGTAAAGTTGTTATTACCGGAGATGTCTGTAGAGGTTCCCCCGCTTTTCCGAGCGCACCCGGTACCCCGGCTCTGCCGCCCGCGGAGCCCCCTGCGCGGCGCTGCTCACCCGAGCGGACCGGGACCCCCAGAGCCTCCCCCCCGCCTCCCGGCCGTGCAGAGCGGGGGCACCGGGTGGGACCCCCGGCCAGGCGCGTTCGGGCTCTGCCCGGCTGCTCCCCGCCACAAAGGGCCGAGCCCCGCCGAGCTGGCGCTCCGCGCAGGCACCGCCGCCGCTCCGCGGGTGTCCGCGGGTGCGGGACCCCCCGGTCCCTCCCGGCGCCCCCTTACCAGCTCCTGCCGCAGCCGCCGCAGGTGCTGCTCCATGGCCCGGCTCGGCGCGGCCCCTCCGCGCAGACACCCGCGGCGGGAGGCGGGATGGGGAGGGGGGGGATCGCCGGGGGGGGCGGCACCGGGGGGCGGTGGCTGCTGCCGGGGCCGCGGAGGCTCCGGAGCCGTTTGTCGGAGCGATGCGGAGGGGGGGGGGGGTCCGGCGCGGCCGCAGCTCAGCCCGGCCCGGTGGCAGCGGCAGCGCCGGGATCCCCGCTCCTCCCGGCGCAGAAGTTTGCCGGTTCAGTTTACCGCGGCCGCGGTCCCGCAGCTCGTCCTGCAGAGACCGCCCCCCCCCCCCCCCTTCCCCCTAGTGCGGTTCATTAACCCGCACGGCCTCGGCCGAGCGAGCCCCGGGTCCCGCCGGGCAGCCTCGGGGGATGCTCCGGAGTCTCCGGTAGCGCTGAGCCTCGGCCACGCTGCCCGCAACACAACAGCAGTGCGGGAAACAGGTGCTGAAAACTCTCTTCTGGGATTGGATTTATCGAGGTTTGATCTTCAGAAGAGCGGTTTCTCCCTTACTGTGTTTCCCAAGCAGTGTTCCAGCTGACAGGGCTCCACGCGAGCTTCCTGGGGATGAGGGGATGTTGTCCCTGCTGGAGGTGCTCTCCTCTAAGGGCAGGATCAACAACCTCTAATCCCGCTTGTCACCACAGGAAACCAAACAGATGGACAGGCAAGGCAGGAAGAAAACACAAGCACTTTTCTGTCAGACTTTGCATTGAATCTGAAAGGGTTTGGATTTTTTCAGTGATGCTCCTATATATATATATGTATATTCACACTTGTGTTATTCTCAGCTTATATGCAAAAATGTGTTGTTTAGATGATAATTGCTGAGTCCCCTGTCACGGGTTAGCCAGGTTTGTCCAAATCATTCTGCAATGCTCAAGATCTTGGTAGGATGAGAAATGCTACTTTGTGTTTTCAAAACTGGGGTGGAAAACCTAATTCCTTGCTTTTCCCCCATATATTTGAGTCTTGACAAAGACTGGCTAAAATCTTTGCCTTTCCAGGTCTTTATTTTTGGAAGGAAAACATTTCTTATAGTCAGTAATAGGATTGTGTTTATTTGTGGAAATCAGCCTTGAAAGCTGACCTTTGTGTCAAAATCCAGTTTAAACAAGAAATTTGTGATGTGCCCTTTCACGGCTGTTAGGGAAACATCCCAGAGTTGACATTTTTTGATCTTTCCAGCATATATTTTATTACTGGTCAAAATTTCCTGCCTCATTTCAGGGTGTCCCTTTCCTAGCTATTTAGGAAGCATGAAAACCACATCTTTCCTCAAGGATCTGTACAATGTGGGGCACTAAATTAATTAATGTATAAGAGAAATGACCCTATGAATAAGTTAATCCCTTCCAGTGTTTATGCTGTGATGCTAGTGGGATGTTTGCCAGTCTTGAGTCCCCCTTAAAGTCCAAACCAACTAACCCAGCTATGGTTTTTCTCTTGAAGCCTGGCTGGAGCTGTTGGCCAGCTGGTTGCTCCCCACGGCCCAGGGTCGGGCTATGCATGTCCCAAGCCTACCCAAGCATGTCAAGTATCATATGGCAGGTTGGAGCAGCCAGTCAGTGGTAAAAAATCAAAGAGATGGCACCATGGGGAGAACACTTGCAAAACGCCTGCCTCTTCCCATCACTGACACACAGGGAAGGACCCAACTTCCCTTCTTTATATCTGCACTCCAGGCAAGGATCCACTTTCAGGACAAGCCACAATCTCAGGGTACAGAATTCTGTGTTGCTTGAGTGGCTGGAGACCTTTATTTCTTTTCTGGTTCTGGTACCAGGAGGTTATAATTTGGTGTGTTGTCTCTGTTTTGTAAAGCAATACATATACTTCCTCCCTGTGGTGTAGCACCAAAACTAGTACACAGTGGCATTTTCTCTTCATATTTGTAATTCATGGACCTTGGTTCAGCTGGTTTGAGCTGAAAACTGACTGTGAGCTTAATTTATCCAAGCCAGCTTTGAAGAACAGTATTTTTAGGTATCCTTTTACATTTGTTAGGGCATCAAGAGGGAATTACTTCTGTTCTCTTGGGGTTACCGTGTCTAGACAAAGCACTACGGCCCTGGCATCTTGAAAAACTGCATGAAACCAGACCAGGGATTATCCCTGGCACAGGATGCTCTCCCCAGCCTTTTCTTTACACCACCATAGGGCTTCTTTTAAATTATATCATTCTTGAATTTGTTTTAACTGATGCTTTTCACAGCGCTTTTGATATTCCAATACGAAAGAGACACAAAAGAGACACGTGGTTATTTGAGGCATCAAATCAAAGTTAAACAATATTATATTGTCAAGCACATCCAGCATTTAGGAGGCCAATTGCACATCGGTGGCAATTGGCAGATGCTGTGTTCCAGAAAGCTCCTGTAACACTTGCAAGTCACTGAACTGTGTGATTTGCTGGCAGATGAACAGGGAAAGAGTTTTTAGCCTCCGTTTGGCTTATGTTTAAGGTCATCTTTTTGATCCATTTTTCAGCCTCCAGGGCTGCTCGTGTCCCACAAGGCTGATAAAGGAGTTCATGAGCACTGAATAAAGGAAAGACCAGGATATTCCTGTGCTCCAAATTCCTGGGAACTTGCAAGAGGAGAGGAAGATATGAAACAGTTTTCCTGTAGGATTTCCCTGCTAAGCAACATTTTGCTCTTCTGCTAGACCACTGGTTCAAAGCACCATCAGCACTTCATGCCAGGCCCTGCACTCCTTCCGCTCTGCCGTGATGTAAACCACGAGCAGATGGTGCAGTGCAGTGGAAAATCAGGTCTCCAAGAAAGTACAGAGCTGAGAGTCAAACACCCTCAAGCAGAAAGCTACATGGCTTATTTTAGGATAAAATGAAAACTGAGATCTTTGGGCAAAAATAGAATACGCCTTCCACTGTATTTCACTGACATGAACTGCCTCATTCCTTCCCAACTGAGGAAACATCCATCCCTTTGCAGCTGAAGGCTTAGCTCATTTGTTGTCTTTCAGTTCATTGATCCCCTTTCTCAGGGCTTTCACGTGACTGTTCTTTGCTGAACTAACAAGCATGGTTATTGCTGAATTTTCTTTTGTTTTTTACTATCTTGCATACTGAAGGCAAACCTTTTGCAATTTCTTCCCACTTAGGCTGCAGCATGACCCAAATCACATTCATCTTTATTTAAATCCACTGGGGCATAAACATTCAGCTTACATCCATAGGTATGAACATCAAAACTTTAATTCTGGCTTTATATTTGTATATGAAGAGATAAATTGCCCCTGAGAATGTAACCATTTCTTCCATTAAGCCTCATTTAGTGTCTGCAGTCACTGACTTGTGGCCTTAAACTTCCTGACATTCCCTTAACTCAATATGCCCCCATCCTGAAAGCAAAAACTTTTAACTCTGCTCCAGCCAAATTCCAGCTCTTGACATTCCTCTGCTTGCACTGGAGGGCCAGGAGTAACCTCCTTGTGCCTTTGCTGTGCTGTCTTGTGTTAAAGAACTACTGGATTACATCTCGGCTGGCTGCATTTTGGTGACCTAGATCCTGTTCATATGAGCTGAAAGATCACTGAGGAAACCTTGGTATAAAAGCATATCTCAGATTCAAATGAACTGATATTTATCTGGAGGAAAACAACAGGGCCAAACTACTTGGCACTTCTTACTGGTATACCTGAAATAGCTCCCCCAAATTGCTGATGTCTGCTTTCTCTTTATCTGAAGCTGCATCTGCCCAAGCAGCTGTGGTGACCCCCCTCCATACTTTAGATTTCATCTGAAATTTGTGGAGTTCTTCTGAATCCTTCTGAAGGATGTGCCTGACAAGGAAGTAAATTCATTCAGCAGCAGGGCACGGACATGAGCCTTAGATAGATGTAAGACCCCTTCATCATCATCATCATTTATAACAACTCCATGCACCAGGCTTGCTGGAACAAATCCAAGGCTTTGCCAATTATTGAAGCAACAAAGAAGACTTGCCACTCATTGGTAACTTGCCATCCAGCTTTTTGCTTTTTTTTCTAAGGAAAAATAAATGAGCAGTGTGCTTGGAGTCAATTTTTGGTGGTGAATATGAAATCACTGTCTATGCTAATATCAATGGCCCTTTCACTGTAATGTGCTTTACTGTACAGAGGACAAACAGAGTTTCCATGGCAGTGTAAACACAAGCACATACCACACTCCAAAGAGTGACTCACACGTGCTGCAGAGAACAGAGAAAGTTCCTGGTCTTAATCTGAACACATCTGGGAGAGGAGGATGAGATTATCTCACTTCAAAAATATCCTAGAAATATGATGTAAACCAAGAAATGCTCTGAATAATTCCACCTCCTGGCAGATATGAAAGACAAATCCTTTGAAGCTAAAGGAGTAAGACAAGACAGGTAGCAATGTTCAGATCTACAATGAATGTATTCTTAAAATACATACACAGTACATATATACTAGAAGCCAATACAAATTCTCCATGAGCAGTTTATCCCAGTCTGTCAGAGTTACAAGTTTAACTGGTGTGAATGAAGAGTAAGTTCCACAGAAAGAGGAGATGGATAAATCCGCGGTGACTACTTAGTACTGGTACTAAGTACTGGTCAAGGGACAAAAAAGTGTTGAGCCCTGTCGTGGGGGGATGAAATACACACTCAGTAGATATGGGAGCAAGAGTTTTCCTTGGCATGTTTTCTTTTAATTCCAAAAAGTAGAGGTTGGTTTATGACCCCAAACTAGAGACTTTATATCCCTTCATAAGAACCAGTTATTTTCTATCACAGCTCAGAAGGAGGTCTTGCCTACTTCTTTCACTAACCTAAATCCTTCCCAGGACCTACTCTGCCTGCAGAGTATTCAGGTTAATTGTCAAGGGCTGATTTGAGCATGAATATTTCCTTTGGATCTTACTGCAAGCAAAAGCAAAGCAGTGTCATGGCAAAACTGCAAATTCCTCTTGGCTGGGCTGACATGTGAACCTCGACACTTTGACTTCAGTACTTGAGAGTCAATGAGGTAAAATGAGGCCTGAGGATTGCTATTTATACACTGACTCATGGCAGAGTACACAACACACAGCGAGTTTAAATTGAGTTAAGATCTTCCTTGTAAGGGTTAAGGGAAGAACAAAACCTTTCATTAGGTGAACTGATACAGCTGCAGGAGCCTGCCCTAAATCCGACACAGCCCCATGAGTAAGAGCCAAAAGCAAAGGGAGATGGACAATAAATCTGCCAGTCGTGGTGTTGAAGGGTTTCTCGGCATACAGACATTGAGGTGGTTTGGAATCCACCCCTCCAGCATCCCATGGAAAATCAAGCAAATCCCTAGAAACAGCAGCATCTTTATGAATTAGGGAGATGGGTCTGAACGTCTCATTACCAACACATCACAGGCAATAATGTCTGTCTCCAAATCACCTCGGCTGCCCTGCACCATGTGTGCAGTGTCCTTTCCTCAGGGGAGAAAAGGAATAGGTGGGAAAAATAAGAGAGGGGAAGCAGTTGATTGCAATGGCTGTTTTGGGCTGTTTCATCACCTCTTCACTGCCCTTTCCCCATGGGAATAGCCACTCCTGGCTGCTTCTCATTGTCTGTTTAAATCACATCAATTTAAAAGGGTTACGAGAGGCTCTATTTAATCAAATGTTTGCTATGTCCAGGTGTCTGTGCCTGTCTCCTTTCCCAGATGCATCCAGAGATCATTAGCTCATGTCAGAGATTCGCTTCCCCTTGAGGATCAATGATAATATCCACTTAAAAATTAAACAAGAATTGGAATGAGCAGAATGCTTGCAGACTGCTATCCTGTTACCTCTGCTCTGAGGCATAGGTCTTGTCCCTACCTGGCAGAGGTAATCTCTCCAAGCTGAAACTGTTCATCCTGCAGGCCCCACTCTTGCTTGGTACCAACTTGGTACCTTTTGCAGACCCAGCTTTTGATGCCCTTTTTCCCTTTGCCTGTTCTACTCTCCTGACCATCCCCTCCTGTGCTCCAGGCCTCCATTCCCCCTGCCTGGGACTCATCCACCCTCTGCCATGCCCCAAGCTCTGCTTCAGTGCACGTTTGTGCTCCAGTTACAGCTCCTGCTCATGGAGCCTGCGGCAAGGTCTCTATCTCCCATCATTTCCACTCGGAGGTTTTGCCCTACGCTGTTCATAAAACAAATGAACATCTTAATGTTGTGCTGTCCGAAACAGAAATGGCCTCGTGGCGTTAGGAAGGCTGGTGAGCTGCAGAGCTTTACCCATCTGAAGGACAGCTTCATAAACATCATTATTAATCCTTCCTATGTAGGTAAGCGCTATTGAGACACACAGCGTGGGCTCACAGCCTCATTTATAAGGAATAATCAGAAAATAACTGTTAATATTGATAGAAATAACACAAAAAAACAGCCCCTCCTCTCCCCCCGGCCATTCTCCCCTCACGCAGCCCACGCACTCCCGGCAACCAATCAGGGGCCCCGGCGCCCCCTGGCGGTACGGGGCGGGGCTATGTGGGGTTCGCCCAGTGCGCCTGCGCGGTGGTTTGTCTGAGGCACCGCGCGCCGCTCGTTGCTCACCACCCACAAGATGGCGGCGCCCGTAGAGGCGCCGGCGGAGGTGGAGGGCCGGCTCCGAACGCGCGATGTCGTGGTGCCCGGCGGCCCCTCCGACTTCGGGTCGTTGCTGCTGTCGGAGCCGGTGCTGGCGGGGCTGGAGGCGGCTGGGTTCCACAGGCCGTCACCGGTCCAGCTGAAGGCCATCCCGCTGGGGCGCTGCGGCTTGGGTGAGCGGGAGGGCCGGGTGAGGGGCCGGGAGTACCCTGAGGCTTGCGGTGACCTCTGTGGTGGTTCGTTCCAGATCTCATCGTGCAGGCTAAGTCTGGCACGGGTAAAACTTGCGTGTTCTCCACCATCGCCTTGGATGCAGTGCTGCTGGAGAGCACTGCTACGCAGGTGAGCCATGGTACCGGTGAGGGAGCGGGCTTTGCTTTGTGAAGGGGAATCGCTCTTTTGGGACAACAGTGTTATCACCTGTGAGACAGTAGTGTTTGAAATCATCACAGCTCGATGCAGAGCTTTAAGCTATGGAGCCATTCTGAAGCTTTCACGTGTACTTTGACCCTTACAGATTCTGATTTTGGCTCCTACACGAGAGATTGCTGTGCAGATTCATGCTGTAATCACAACCATAGGGATAAAAATGGAAGGCTTGGAATGCCATGTCTTCATTGGAGGGACTCCTTTGAACCAGGACAAAGTCAGGCTAAAGAAGTGCCACATAGCAGTTGGCTCCCCAGGTATGATTGAGCTTCATTGTACTTCAGATGCCACGTGAGAGTTGGCTGTACAGGAGTTGGTGCTTTTCAGATCTGGGTTGAAGTTATTGTTGTAATAGGGGATAGTCTCAAAGGTTTAAGTACCAGAAGCATGCTTTTTTTTAGGGAGAGATTATTCCATATATATATATATTTAGGCTTATTAAAATTAATTGAAAAAAATTGCAAAGACCAACATTAGAACCTTTCAGTTAACATTTGTGAAGTTCCTTTTACTTTTTTACTTATCTTTATTTTTTTACTTATTTCTTCACATGGAGGCCGAATAAAACAGCTCATAGAGTTGGACTACTTGAATACAGCCAGTATCCGGCTTTTCATTCTCGATGAAGCAGACAAGCTGCTAGAGGAAGGCAGCTTTCAGGAACAAATCAAGTAAGAAAAGATTTCTCTCATGTGTTTATCTGTAGATTAGATCCATATTTGGTAGTTATTCCTGTTTCTTTGTCTTCCAGTTGGATTTACTCTTCACTACCGGCCAATAAACAGGTGCTTGCTGTTTCAGCTACTTACCCTGAATCGTTAGCTAATGCTTTGACCAGGTACATGAGAGAGCCAACATTTGTGAGGTTGAACCCTGCTGATCCAAGTCTCATTGGTAAGTACGAGTTCATTTATAGTGATATTGTTATCAATAGGTTAAGAAGAATATACTAAAACCAAAATACATTCCTTTAAATGTTGTGATTCTTCACAGTTTCCCTCCACAGTTGAGTTGATAAGCTTATGAAGTATTTATTTCTAGTATTGATGTATTTAAAGCATGAAGGATGAGTGTTGTTTTCTGTTTTTTTTTTTTCTATCAGTTCAAAAAATATCTCATTGTGTTAAGAAAAACCTGTCCTGTCATTTATTTGGCACATGTGTATCCTTGTTTAAATTTCAAGTCGTTGTTTTAGCTGTGGTGACATGTGTTGGCAGCAGAGTAGCACTGCACATATTCTTTATGAAACCCTTAACCTGATAGGTTGTTTTGCTTTATGCTCAGGGCTGAAGCAGTATTACAAAATTGTGAATTCCCATCCACTTCCACATAAAACTTTTGAGGAAAAAACCCAGCACCTACAGGAGTTGTTCAGCAAGATTCCATTTAATCAAGCCTTGGTCTTCTCAAACTTGCACAGCAGGTAATCAACTTAAAATAAGACCTTTAAAAAGGCATGTTTGAAAGCAGTGGTTGTAATGTCCAGTCATAGGTAAACTTACAGAGACCTTCTGTATGGTCTGAAAGCCTAATACAAATTTCAGATTTGAAATTGCAATATGAAATGCTGAAAATAAAGGGATGCTTTAGCATGAGAATACCTTATGTATATATTGTGATGTCCTTTTGTCCCTTTTCGTCTGTAGGGTGTCCTTGGCTGTAAAGAGTAGCCTATTGTTAAGACACAACAACAGAGGTGGTTAGCTTTGCAGTTTTATTTACAATTAAGGTCTCTTCCAACCCCCAAACCATTCTATGATTTTGTGATTCTGATTTTCATTGTGTATATTTTGTCAGGGCTCAACATTTAGCTGAAATACTGACATCCAGAGGCTTTCCTGCTGAGTGCATTTCGGGTAAGTCCATTCAAAATGTTCAGATTCTATCAAAGTTGTGCATAAATGTGACCTAAAGTAGGAAAGTCAGGATTAAATCTTGGTTTACGTGGCCTCTGGTTAAATAACTAAGAATAGCATTTGAATCTTCGTAGCTCTTTAGGACTTAATCAATGTAAAAATTGATTAATATTAAACTTTATTGTTTTCAAGTTGTTTGAGTCATTTTTATGGATATCCAGATGAGTGTGCTGACTCATTTGTAAGGAGAAAATTTACTTGCATCTGCAGGTTGAAGAGTGTTTCATTAAGGTGCAGTGTTGAATCTAAATATGTTCCATTACTAACTTCCCTGTGAAAAGCTAATAGTTGCCATCTAATGTCTGTTAGACACCTGGAATTTTTACTTCAACAGTTGTTTTCCTTCCATGGCTTATGTTTTTAAGTAAAAAGACATGTAAAGCCATTTGTTGTTCAAGTGGGTTGAATATCTACATAATTGGTTTCTCTTTAAAAGCAATCAAAAGCATTTTTGTTACGGACTTTCTTACTTTCAAGTTTTTGTTCCTTATCTACTCATTTGGGAGTGGTTTTTGAGGAAATTTCTCTCAACCTTATTTCTTACTTCATTTACAGTTGTACAAAGCAATGTTTTCCAGAATTTGAGGGGTATGAAACTGAAGAATGTAATCTGCTTCTCGTTTTTGTCTTTCTAGGCAATATGAATCAAAATCAACGACTTGATGCTATGGCTAAATTAAAGCAGTTCCACTGTAGAGTTCTCATTTCCACAGACTTGGTGAGTTGGTGCTTTATAGCATACATGAGTATTGCAGATGAAGTTATTTCAGAGAATTAGATTTGAAGATGTAAGAAAAAATGATCCCTAGTTTTCATGGTCCAATGAAATATGCTTATTTTCTGTGTAATACTGTAAACTGGCTGGAAAATTGTAGGTGCTTTATTAACAACTGAAAGTTATTACATGAGCAGTTACTTCTGGATGCATTGTACTTAAATAAAGATCATTATGTTCAGCATATTCAATTAGCCATCCCCTTCTTTCCTCATTTTCTCAAGACATCTCGTGGGATTGATGCTGAGAAGGTGAATTTGGTTGTCAACCTGGATGTGCCTCTAGACTGGGAAACGTACATGCATCGTATTGGCAGAGCTGGGCGTTTTGGTAAGAGCACTGATGGGTTTCTTGAGCTTGCACTACAGCTTCACAGGCTCTGGATAGGTAACTGCACTCTGTTGTATCACAGGAACTTTAGGTTTATCTGTAACATACTGCTGCCGTGGAGAGGAAGAGAACATGATGATGAAAATTGCTCAGAAGTGTAATCTTCAGCTTCTTCCTCTACCAGGTATGTTCTGTCCTATGAATGCGGATTTCTGTTGGTTGTTTTCTGCTGCTCAGAGCTTCAGGCAAGTCCACATTAATTTTAACAGAGGTTTTTCATCCTCTGTGCTCGACTCCTTGTGTAACTGCTGCAGTTGGGTGAAGGGTTAGGAAATGAACTTGGTGCATGCCTGTGGACAGGGAGAGGAGCTCTCATCCAGCTGCTGCTTAAGCAACTACATAACTACTTGGGTTGCCAGAAATCTAGTATTAAGCCTTTCTGAGGCTGTAAGATACCATAGGAGAAGGAAGGAATGATTGAAACAGCAGATTTGCTACCCTTGCTTTGCCAGAAGCTGTTCAGCTGGAAATGAAGCGTTTGCTGCCTTGCATGAGTTCTAGTTTTTTACCTGCTTAAGGAGGATATGAAAAGTGGGTGACAAGTAATGCAGTGCTGTTTGTCTTGATCAACTTCTTGATGCCTTCCATGAAGAAAAGTTCTTAGCCAAAAAGTTATTTGAGCTTTTGCAGGGATGGAAGGGCGGGTCAGTTTCTAGCTCTAACTTAATGTGTCTTAACATTTGCTGTTTTGTGTTGCTTTACTGTGGTGCTCATCTGAGTTCTGGAGGGAAGGATGCATTAACTGAGTGCCTGCTTGTTCTCTTGAGCAGAGCCCATACCTCCTGGAATGATGGATCAGTTTGAAGATGGGAAGGTAGAAGTCAAACCTGTCATACATACAGATGCTTCAGTGAATTCTG